TCAACTCCCAGAATTCCCCAGACATCATCCTTTAAGACAATTGGACTTCAACTCCCAGAATTCCCCAGCCATCATCCTTTAAGACAATTGGACTTCAACTCCCAGAATTCCCCGGCCATCATCCTTTAAGAGAATTGGACTTCAACTCCCAGAATTTCCCGGCCATCATCCTTTAAGACAATCGGACTTCAACTCCCAGAATTCCCCAGCCATCATCCTTTAAGACAATCGGACTTCAACTCCCAGAATTCCCCAGACATCATCCTTTAAGACAATTGGACTTCAACTCCCAGAATTCCCCAGCCATCCTCCTTTACGACAATTGGACTTCAACTCCCAGAATTCCCCAGCCATCCTCCTTTACGACAATTGGACTTCAACTCCCAGAATTCCCCAGCCATCATCCTTTAAGTCAATTGGACCAACTCCCAGAATTCCCCAGCCATCCTCCTTTAAGACAATTGGACTTCAACCCCCAGAATTCCCCATCTGGCAAGCTTTAAAGCATGTGATTTCAGCTCCCAGAATTCCCCAGTTAGGATGCTTTTAAGATGGTTGGACTGAACGTGCTGGATTGTCATGCCTATCGATTATCTCTTGTGTTTAAACCGATGAGGACTAGAAGCCACCCTGCCACAACCTCTCCTTAGGCCGCAGAAGGCTCACCGTCTCCCATACCTCCACCCTGATCCGACGCTTGACGCCGTTTCTTCTTCCCGTTAAGCAGGATTTGAATTCCGGCTGGATGATTTGTCTTCCGAAGTCCTTTTTTTTTTTTTCCTCTTTTTTTTTTCTTCCGCCGTTAAGCAAGTCCCCGTCTCAGATAAATTAGGGTATGTTCAAAAGGGACTAATACAATGTGCCGCCATGTCAGGTTGGTTATAAGGCCATTACATAAATCTGGTGCAAGGATCATAATGGCATTATATAAATCCTCCACACACAGCACAAATTTCCAAGGCAATGCAGCATTCAGGCCACCGCATTTCAAGGGGGAAAATGCAGGCAGGGTTGAGGGGTGGGTGGTGGGTGGGATGTGGTATCGAAGAGAAGATTTTAGAGAGAAATAAATGAGCAGGACTGCGGCGTTTTTCTTTCTCTCGGAGGACGGGGCGGCCAATTTTAAGATTTTTTTTTTTCCTTTTGTCTTTGGTTTAAATATAAAACGAGGGGGAAGCATGGAGGAGACGGTTTAGCATGCTGCAATTCGGATTTCGGGGAAGGAAGAGGATCCGCCTTAACAGACTGAACGGATATTCAGAGTTGGAAGGGACCTTGTAGGTCATCTAGCCCAACCCTCCGCCCGAGCGGGAGACCCTACACCATTTCTGACAAATAGCAGTCCAGTCTCTTCTTGAAAGTCTCAAGGGATGAAGCTCCCACAACTTCCAAAGGCAACTTCTGTTCCACGGGTGGATCGTTCTCCCTGTCAGAAAATTCCTCCTTTTTTTTCCAGGTTGAATCTCTCCTTGTTCAGTTAACATCCGTTACTCCTTGTCTGGCCTTCGGGTGCTTTAGAAAATAGCTTGACCCCCTCGTCCTCCCTGTTGTAGCTGTTTTGACAGCTACAACGGGGCAACGTCGTCGGGTAAACCAGACAGGGATCGCTTGATTGTAAAGCTACGTTGGCAGAGTTTTGCAAGGCTGAAAGTCCACATCCTCTGCCATCTCCTTTAAGGTAAAGGTAAAAGTTCCCCTCGCGCATACGTACAAGTCATTTCTGGCTGTACGGAGCGGTGCTCATCTCCGTTACAAAGCCGAAGAAGAGCCGGCGCTGTCCGAAGACGTCTCCGCGGTCATGTGGCCAGCCTGACTAAAACGCCAAAGGCACATGGAACGCTGTTACCTTCCCACCAAAGGGGTCCCTATTTTTCTACTTGCAATTTTTTTACAATGCTTTCGAACGGCTAGGTCGGCGGAAGCTGGGACTAGGAACGGGAGATCACTCCGTTAGGCGGCTCTAGGGATTCAAACCGCCAAACTGCCGGCCTTTCTGACCGACAAGCTCGGCGTCTTAGCCACTGCGCCACCGCGTCCCCTGTCATCTCCTTTACATCTTCCGAGTATCTCCACCCGTTATGCAGCAGAGGGTTGGGCTATCTCCACTGGTGGGATTCAAGTAACTGGTTCTTCCTAATGACCAGCTAGGTAGGTGTGGCTGGGAGGGGGAGGGTCATATGACTGAGTGGGCGTGGCCAACTCCACATCACTCATGCCAAGGTGGGGGGCGGCGCAGGAGACTTGGAATCTTCACCGTAGAGGGTGGTACAAGAAGTGTACCCTCTCTAGTGGAGATTTTCACACCTACTTGGAGTGAATCTCCCTCTCCTGCCATTGCCCTTATGTCATGCCCCTGTCGGAATCTGATTCGGAGGGGGAGGCTGAGCAGCTGACAGGGAGTGGGTGTGTGGCTCCGTTGGCTGTGGAAGAAACCGGGGAAGGGCACAGTCCGGTTGGGCAGAGGTAGAACAAGGGAGAGGAATTCAGAGGAAGACCCAGGCCCACCCTGTCTTCATCCTAGGGCACGCAGGGAGGAACAGAGAAGGAAGCAACGTGATTTGCCTGGCTTATGGGGGAGGAAAGGGCCCTGATTCCCTTCATTTGCTGCAGCTTGGGAACACAGCCTTTAAAAAGGGAGTTTGCGCACAGCAACTTGTTGGCAGCAAATTGTGAGTTATCTTTTGTTGTCCAGGCTTATCTGGTTTCCTGCCGTCTTCCCAACGGTGTGTGTTTTGTTGACCTTTGAAGTCTGCATATTCCTTCTCCTGCCCTGTCCGGTTAATGGCTGCAGTGTGGTTTGTTTGGATTTTTTTAGTTACAGTTTGTATGTACTTCGTTTTTCGGACTGAATTTCCTCCACTTAAAGACTGTTCTTGGGAGAGTTTTTTTTCTCCTCCGGCCGAAGGTAACCTGGACATTGGGGGCAAAGTGGGAGGTACTAAAAGAACACTTCTTGCTTATTTGAACGTGTTGCCTTTGTGCCACGCTCTCGGCCATCACACCTTACCTTCTCAGGCCAGGCGAGGAGTGACTGGGAGGGAAGGGGCGCGGGGCATGGCCAGCCAGTGGCGCACAAGAAGTTAGCAAACCCACCACTGGCTATCTTTGATCTGACCGCTCCCTAAGCAGGATTTCTTTCCCTGTCACCTCTACGTCCCTCTACTAGGGAGTGACCCATCTTCAAATAGTCCTGGGGTGTATAAGCAGCGGCACAGAATCAAAATCACATGAAGTATATTAGCACCGCTTTATAAAGCCTTAGTAAGGCCACCCCTGGAATAACTGTGTCCGGTTTTGGTCATCACATTACGAAAAAAGACGTTGAGACTTTAGAAGAAGAAAAATGCAGAGCAGAGCAACTAAGAGGATTCAAGGCTCGAAGGATGAAACATATGAAGAACAGTTGCGGGGTTTGGGGTACGGCTAAGTCTAGAGAAAAGAAGAATTAGGGGTGACGTGAAAGCAGTCTTCCAGTATTTGAGGGGCTGCCCCGAAGAAGAAAGGGGTCAAATTATCATCCAAAGCACCCGAAGGCAGGACAAGAAGCAAAGGATGGAAACTTCTCAAGGAGAGAAGCCACCTGGAATTTAGGAGAAACTTCCTAACTGTGAGGACAATCAACCAGCGGAACTGCTTGGCTCCAGAAGTTGCGGACGCTCCGTCGTTGGAAATCTTTAAGAAGAGACTGGACATCCATTTGTCTGAAATGGTTTAGGGCAGTGGCCTCCAACCTTTTGTGTCCCACGGCCCGGTACTGGCATCACAAAATGATCCACGAATCGGTACCGGCATCAGCACGCACGACCAAGGCAAGGTGAGCCGAGCGACCGGCCGGATAGCCGTCCCCCGCTTCTCCCCGCCACCTTCAACTCCTCCTTTGTACCTTCTCACGGTCGATGGGCTTTTCGGGTTCTTTCGTAATCTCCTCCTAACGTGAGACTCCACCGCCATCGGGACGGCTCTTCGTTCGAAGCCGCCCCCCCCCTCGACGAAACTAAGGCGCGAGGATTCCTTCAGCACCCAAACGCCGCTTTCCATCCAACCGATGACTGACAAGCTCACATGGAAGCACTTTCTCAAGCGCCGTCGAAACAAGATGGCGGTGACCACTTCTTGGCGGCCTGGTAAAAAATGATCCATGGACCGGTACCGGTCCGGGGCCTGGTGGTTGGGGACCCCTGGTTTTGGGTCTCCTGCTTGAACAGTGGGTTAGACTAGAAGACCTCTAAGGTCCCTTCCAGCTCTCTTATGATGGCCTCTCTTTCCCTCTTATGCAGCTTTGGCCTACGTCCTCTCTTATCTAACTGTTCCCTAGGCGTCTTCTCTCCCGACCCTGTACTTTACACCCTGAGAAACTAGGGAGGGTCTCTTCTGAATCTCTTTTCCCACCCATTATGTACCTTTGGACTAGGCTGTTCCCCTAGGCCAGGGTCGCCAACCTTTTGGACCTCAGAGACCACCAAACTCATCATTTTAAATCCCACGGACCAGAGACCCTGGGAAAATCCCCCCCAAAAGAATCTCTGCAGGGAAATTTCCCTACCCCGTTTTCCTACCGATCGATCATTCTTTATTTGGGATCGTGGGATACCATCTCCAGCTCCGTTCTCAGGTAGAGAGAGAGAGAGAGACTTTTGGCTTCATGCAAGGAAAGCAGCAGAAGCAGCAGAAGTCTTTCTTTCTCTCCCCCAAACTCCGCCAGAATTGAGTCTTTGTGAGACTTGTCATGCCGGCGCAGCCTCTTGGAGCAAGGAGGCCTTGCAGGGTCCCAAAGACTCATTTCTGGTGGAGTTGGGGGGAGAGAAAGAAAGACTTCTGCTGCTTTCCTTGCGTGCAGCCAAAAGCAGAAGAAGGAAGAAGTGGAAAGAAGCATCCCGGTGGCCAGGCCAGGCGCGTGGGGCGAGTGGGGCAAGTTCCCCCCCCTCCCCTCACTACCTCGTGTTGTTCGCAATGCAAGCAACGCAAGCCTTGTGTTCCTGTGGGCCATGCGGCGGTGCAGCCTTGTTTTCCCACACAGGCTGGATTAATTGCTTTGGAGGTGACATTTCTCTGCAGACCACCACAATTTTCTTGCGGACCCCCAGTGGTCCATGCCCCACTGGTTGGCAACTACTGCCCTAGGCACCATCTGTTCTACACCCACCCGACCCCATTTTACAGCTTGGAAAACAAGGGGGAAGGTATCATTTGAGTCTCTTGCCTTGTCCATTATCTAGCTGAGGGCTCTGCTGTCCCTTATCTGATCATTCCCTCGTAGTGTCTTTTCGCCCGTCTGCCAAGGTCTTTCCCACCTACCCCGAAAGAATAGCCCCACCTGGCGTCCCCGTTAGGGTGAAATGATGCTTAAGAAATGGGATCCCTCGGCCCAATCCCCAACTGTGAGATTTCGGGTGGAAGTATGGCATTCACTGCAGTCAGGTGCCTTTCCAAAAAGCAAAATAAAAAATAAAAATTAAAAGGCAAGGTGGCTAAAAGCCCAACTTCCTCCATATTCAAAGGCAGTCTTCCTCATTGCAGGAATACACCCCCCAAAGGAGTCCAAAAAGTCCAGACGGGACATCCAAAGTCTGCATCTCTTTTGTTATTTGTGTCCCGCGTGCAATAAGAAAACGGGGTCTCTGGTCTTTTAGAGTTGCCAGCGGAAAGGGAGTAAGGGAAAGCAGTGCATTCCTTAAATGCTTCATAATAGCTAGGAGGACGAAGCTTCTGGCGCGCAAGATGGAGAGCATGATTGATGACTCTTGGCTATGTGTGTGTCCCATTGGAGAATATACATCCAAGGAATGGGGGAAGACCAGGGTCAAGGGGGAAATGAATGGTGCGTCTCAGAGCCGGCTGCACCCAGGTAGCACCGGCATGTTCGCTCCTATTAAATCTTCTTTGAACTCGGAGAGATGTGGCTAGAGACTCATGATTTGAATGGGGGCCGATGCTGGAGCCCTGACACAGTCACGGCTGCCATTTTGACTTTTTTAGACCTCCGATGGAGAATTCCGGATCTGACGCATCCGCCCCCGTCTTGCTGTCTTCTTAGCGCCTTCTGGAGAAGGACTATGAAAGGCTATCCGGCGGTGGAGACGATGGTGGGCTGGAGATGGCGAGATCCGGGTTCTAATCTTCTCCTCCTCGGTCGAAGCTCGTTGGCCGAATGTGGAGCCTCTCCTCCTTCTCTGCCCAACCTCCCTTGCAGGATTGTGGTCTTGGGTGAGGCGGTGGGCAGAAGATGCTCAGAAGGCTCCCGCAGCAAAGAGGAGACACACCAATCCACCAGAAGGTCCATACAGAACGTTCTCCATTCTCCGTTCCCTCCCTCCTTCGTCCTCCCCGCTGGCATCTCTGACTCATCCCCACTCATCCTCTAGCCTGCCATCCCAGAAGCCATTTTTGGGGGGGGAGGGGGGGAAACTGGGATGTCTCATTTGGATGCTTCCTGACAACAGCGAGGAATTTTGTCGCTGTCGGCAACATTGCAACCCAAACCGTGAGCCGCTTTTGTTAACGTCCCAACAAGCTGCAGGCAACCCTCGACTGACAACCACAATTTTGTGGTTGTTGAATGACCCCGTAATCTTTAAAGTCGCCTGGTTTGGAACACGATCTTCTAAAAGGGACAGCCAGGAATTTGAAACGTACCCATTTTTACAATATATTAAACCAAAAATGAAAAACGAGTCTGCAGAAATAGCTAGAAAAAAGAAGGAAAAAATTCTCACTCTCCGTTTGTCCTTTGACGGCACAGATGTCGATTCTGGACTTGAGACCAGGGGTGGGATTCTACCGGTTTGCACCTATTTGCTAGAACCGATTGTTAACATTCTAAGCAGTTCGGAGAACTGGTTGTTAGAGGAAATTTTTACTGGCCTAATCCTGTAAGGAAGGCAGGAAGGAAACATTCTGGTGTTGCTTACAGAAACTGCCTCTCCGTTAACCCTTATTCCATTCTTGGCAGGACTAGTCTTCCTGTCTCTGGAGCTTCTCTGGAGTTTTTTCCCCCTCCTTTGCTGGTACTTTGCTTGCGTGGAGTGACCATTCAAAGTTACAATGGCACTGAAAAAAGGGACTTATGACCGTTTTTCACACTTACGACTGTTGCAGCATCTCCACAGTCACGAGAGGCCAGGCGAGGAGATGCGTGCCTCGATGTGAGTGATGTTGAGTTGGCCACGCCCAGCCAATAACATGACCAGCAAACCATGTCCACCCAGTCACATGACCCCCAAGCCATGCTGACTACCTAAGCCATGGCCACAGAACCGGTTGTTAAAAATGGTGAATCCCACCCCTGCTTGTGACGGAATAAAAATTTAATTATCTGATCTTGTTTGGATGTGGGATGTCTCAGGCATCGTTGGCTTCAAAGCTGTGTTGGTGAGCAAGAAGGAAAAAGAATTAGCGAGATATTTTCGGCAGCGATGGAAGCCTCTGAGACCGAAATGTACCAAGATTAATTTTAAAAAAAGCAAACAGCTCTTTTTAAAAACCAAATCAAAAGCATATTTGGGTCGCCTTACAACCAAAATGGAGCCCCAAATTTCCAAGAACAGTCGTTCACGTTTTGCCCCGTTTTGTAACCCTTTTCCCCCACCCCCAAGGTCGTTAAATGAATTACTGCAGTCATGAAGTGAATTGCACCATCATTAAATGAATCCACCTTCCCCCGCTGAGTTTTGCTTGTCCTCCTGGATACAGCAACCGTCATAAATACGAGTCAGCTGCCAAACATGTGAAATTTGGATCGCGTGGTCCTGGGGACGTTGCAACAGTCACCAGTGTGAAAAACAGTCCCTTATTTTCCATCCTGTTGTAACTTCAAATGGTCCCTAAACGAGTTGCTGTTAAACTGAGGAGTTGCTTTGAAATCTCAAAGGGGTCTTCAGAACAAACTGGGTTGGTTTGTTTTTCCCCTCCATTACGATTTCTCCTTCCAGGCGAGGACAATTTGGGCAGAGTCCTTAGTTGGCACAGCCCCTATGCTCCTTGAGCGCTGGGAGGCGGGGATGAGGGGACTTGTAGTCCAGCAACCCCCCGGCGATGGTAGAAGAGGAAAGGAAAGAGCAATTAAGAGGATCGAAGGCCCGGAGACCAAAACATACGAAGAACGGCTACATGATTTGGGTTTAGCCAGTCCGGAGAAAAGAAGGACTAGGAGAGACATGATAGCAGTCTTCCAATGTTTGAGGGGCTGCCCCAAAGAAGAGGGAGTCAAGCTACTCTCCAGAGCAGGACAAGAAACCATGGGTGGAAACTCATCAGAGAGAGAAGAAACCTGTTCTGATCTAGGCTTTCCCCAACAGCACGAAGCCCACGCCTCGTCCCGATAAACCCTTTATATTTAGTTTACAGTGAATTCCTCTCCAGCAAAGTCCCGGCCAACAGTCTTTCAAGAGATTCCACAATTACAGACCTTTATCAGGCTTGGAGAGTTGCCAGGCCGATAGCTTCCAAATGCCACTCTGTAGAAGACAATACTTTGCAAGGAGTCACGAACGAATCTTCACCCTAATTGAATGAACTAATTGTCTCCTGCAGACCCCACTCCCCTTTCGCTCCTCTTTCTTCCCTGTGGGAGGGCCAATTCACCATCCACCTGTGCCTTTACTCCTGAGTCGACCCTTGTTCCTTAACTGTTCCCTTCTTCTGGCAGCTCTGTGCATACGCACACTGGGAACAGGCTCCAGCTGTTCTTCCGCCCCACTGATCTCTGACTCCGAAGGCAGCTGATAACTGTCGGATGGACCTGGCCCCATCTCTGCCTCCGATGCAGAGCCCTCGTCAGAGCCTTCCCCAGACTCCAGGACTGGCCCAGGTTCCTCCCCAACCTCCTCGCTGTCCAACTCTGCCACCGGCTCCGCTGGCGGGCCACCACACAACCTGGAATGAAGGAGAAATTTCCTAACAGCGGTGGAAGATACCAGTGGAAGATATTAACCATATCTTCCATTGGTTAATCCAACAGCGGTGGATTAACCAGTGGAAGATATGTGGACTTCAACTCCCAGGATTCAGTTCCCAGGGCTGGCTGGGGAATTCTGGGAATTGAAGTCCCCATGTCTTAGAGAAACATTGGGCCAACCCATCAAGAAGAGAAGGTGGCCCCAGGCACTCCTCTCTCCTTCTGGTTCTTGACCAGCCACCGTGAACCAAGACCGATGTGTGTGCTTGCGTTTGGGTATGCAAAGCCCACAACCTCTCGAAAAGGGAGCCACGGAGAGATCCCAGCTCACTACCAGGGCTTCCTGGTAGACGAACATCCTGGTCGACGAACTTCGTTGTTGGCAGAAGCTTGTTAAATCAATGTTGGGTTTGAAGGAGGCGCCTGGGAATTTTCCTGAAGAACTGAAGAAGCAAGTCAATAGATCATTGAATGCATCAACTCCAAAACTACCCTGGGGACGCCATTGACCAAGCGCTAATTATCACTTGTTGGACACATTATGTAAAGATTACGTGAAGAAAGTGCCAGCATTGAGAAATTCCCAATACTGGGGAAAGAGGGAAAGGAAGGGAAGAAGAGGACAATGAATGAATGAATGAATGAATGAATGAATGAATGAATGAATGAATGAATGAATGAATTCTTATTGGCCAAGTGTGACACATAAGGAATTTGTCTTGGTGCAAATGCTTTCAGTGTATGTACATAAAAAGAAAAGATACATTCATCAAGAGTCAAGAATCATAACGTACAACACTTAATGATAGTCATAGGGTAGAATAAGCAATCAAATTCTACTCGGAAACAGCCAATATAAATCGTAAGGATACAAACGACCAAGTAACAGTCATACACTCACAAGTGGGAGGGGATGGGTGATAAGGAGTGATGAGATTAATAGTGATAGTAGTGCAGGCTTTGTAAATAGTTGGACAGTGTTGAGGGAATTATTTGTTTAGCAGAGTGATGGCATTCAAGGGGAAAAACTTCCTTGTGTCTAGTTGTTCTGGTGTGCAGGGCTCTATAGCGTCGTTTTGAGGGAAGGAGTTGAAACAATTTATGTCCAGGTCGTGAGGGGTCTGTATATATTTTCACAGCCCTCTTTTTGACTCGTGCAGGACACAGGTCCTCCATGGAAGGGAGGTTGGTAGCCATTGTTTTTTCTGCAGTCCTAATTACCCTCTGAAGTCTGTGTCTGTCCTGTTGGGTTGCAGAACCAAACCAGACAGTTATAGAGGTGCGTGTTCTAGGACAATGTCGCAGGATCGAATCTGGATCGGTCACCAGCACTTTCTGATTTTTTGGAGGGTGTTTGGGGAAAAAACTGTCCTTGTGTCTAGTTCTGATGTGCAGTGCTCTATAGCATCGTTTTGAGGGAAGGAGCTGACACAATTTACGTCCAAAGATTAGATTAGGTTGGAAGGGACCTTATAGGTCATCCAGTCCAACCCCCTGACCAAGCGGGAGACCCTACACCATTTCTGACAAATGGCAATCCAATCTCTTCTTGAAAGTCTCAAGTGAGGGCGCTCCCACAACTTCCGAAGGCAACTTCTGTTCCATGGGTTGATTGTTCTCCCTGTCAGAAAGTTTCTCTTTATTTCCAGGTTGAATCTCTCCTTGGTCAGTTTCCATCCATTGTTCCTTGTCTGGCCTTCAGTTGCTTTGGAGATTATCTTGACCCCCTTTCTCCTCTCTGGGGCAGCCCCTCAAATATTGGAAGATGCTCTCATGTCTCCCCTGGTCCTTCTCTTCCCTAGACTAGCCAGGCCCAGTTCCTGCAACCGTTCTTCCTGTAACCAAACCGTAATTTCCCCACCTCCAGACTTACACAGAATTTCCTCACCTCCAATATTCTACAGACCTGTGGAGTCACCTAAGGGTGAGGATGGGCCGCACTGAAATTCAATAAGCAAATTAAAAATAAATAATAATATCTCCTTTTCTAGTTCTTTATCTAGTTAAAAGGCCTCCTGGGTTGTTTCTTCTTCTTCTTTTTTTAATTATTATTTCTTTCTCTCTTTAGCTGTCACCTCCCACCGCTTATACCTGTGAACGGAAAGTGAGAATTAGGATTTAATAGCACCTTCCTGGCTTAAAGGAGAGGAGAGAAGGATGTGCAGGGGTGTTGAGGGAATAAATTATTGAAATATCCATTTATTCGGGAGGCAGGCTGTGAGCGGATCAGCCTCACCGTGTTTCGGTGCACGGAAGTGCAGAGCAAAACCTGGCATTTTCGACATTGATTTCTGGTGGGCGGGGGGAGAACAAACTTCTGTCAGATCCCTCAAAGGAGGTTAGACAAGTTTTATTGATCAGGACACGGTGACCTGCAGTCAAAAGAACATCGAAACACGGCTTGGAAAGACGGGCGTCCCTCAGCTTCCGTAAGATACAAGAGAAGCGTTCTTAAAAGGGGAACGCGGAGGACGAAAAAGCATGTCGCTGTATGAGTTTTGCCATTTGAGACTTGAGTTTGTTTGGAAAGGTCACAGGCGTAGGATGTCTCGCTTGAAGGCCGGTCTAATAAACGGAAGGACTAGAAACACCACAGAATAAAGCTGGAGGGGACCTTGGAGGTCTTCTAGCCCAACCCCGCCCCCTTGCTCAAGCAGAAGACAAGATACCATTTTTCAGACGAGTGACCATCCAGCTTCTTCTTGAAAGCCTCCCGTGATGAAGCACCCACAACTTCTGGTGGCAAGCAGTTCCGCCGGTTAATGGTCCTCACTGTTAGGAAGTTTCTCCTTAATTCCAGGTTGCTTCTGCCCTTGATGAGTGCATAAAGTAACAGAGTGGGAAGGGTTCTTGTAGGCTGTCTAGTCCAACCCCCTACTTAACCAGGAGGCCCTACATTCGTAATGGCGAACCTATGGCATGTATGCCGTAAGTGGCATGTAGAGCCATTTGTGCTGGCACGCGAGCTGCAGGTTCATTGCATTCGCGCTTGCCTCACAGCTGAATTTTTTTTTCTGGTAGGTCTGAGGCCTTTCTCGGCCTCCCAGAGGCTTCGAAAAAACCTCTGCAAGGCTTTTCAGGATGAATCATAGGCCCGTTTCGTCACTTCCTGTAATACCAGAAGTGACGAAATGGGCCTATGATTCAGCCTGAAAAGCCTCGCAGAGGCTTTTTCCAAGCTTCCGGGAGCCCCAAAAAGGCCTCAAACCAGCTGAAAAATCAGCTGTGAGGCACAGTACGGGTAAGGGGTGGAGGGTGGGGAGATTGAGTGCGCATGCGCAGGGGGTGTGGGGAGGGTGGGGTGTGCATTGCATTCTGGGTGCTGGCACGCGAGTGCGCGTGTGCTGGTGTACGCACAATTTTGGGCACAGGAGCCAAAAAGATTTAGCCACCACTGCCCTACAGCATTTCTGACAAATGGCAATCTAGTCTCTTCTTGAAAGCTTCCAGGGATGAAGCTCCCACAACTTCTGAAGGCAACTTCTGTTCCATGGGTGGATGGTTCTCCCTGTCAGAAAATGTCTCCTTTATTTCCAGGTTGAATCTCTCCTGGATCAGTTTCCATCCATTGTTCCTTGTCTGGCCTACAGGTGCTTTGATAAATAGCTTGACCCCTTCCCTCCTCTCTGGGGCAGCCCCTCCTGAGATATTGGAAGACTGCTATCCTGTCCCCCCTGGTCCTTCTCTTCATTAGACTAGCCAGGCCCAGTTCCTGCAATTGGTTCCATCCATTGTTTCCTGTTGACCCATTCATCTTCGGGGCAGCCCCTCAAACACTGAAATGCTGTTGTCATGTCTCTCCTAGCCCCTTCCTTTCTCTAGACTAGCCAAACCCAATTCCTGCAATCATTCTTCATATGTTTTGGTCTCCAGGCCTTTAATCGTCTTAGTTACTCTTCTCTGCACTTTTTCCCAAAGCCTCAACATCTATTTTTGTTTGGACTAGCGGAGACAGGATAGCAGTTTTCCAGTATTTGAGGGTGTTGCCCCAAAGAGGAAGGGGTCAACTTCTTTTCCAAAGCACCTGAAGGCAGGACAAGAAACCATGGATGGAAACTCATCAAGGAAGAGAAGCAACCTGGCATGAAGGAGAAACTACGTTAATAGTGAGGACAATTAATCAGTGGAACAACTTGACACCTGAAGTTGGAGGTTCTTAAGAAGAGATTGGAGAACCATTTGTCTGGAATTGGATAGTTGTCAGAGTCTATTCATGGACTGGAATCGAGCACGGTAACAAGGTCAGCCAATGAGTAGGCATAGCAACTAAATCAGCCAACGAGGACAGTTTGGAAACTGAAACTAGAAGTAGTCAGGATATGGCTCCATATTAAGCTCTGCAACTCTGCAGTTACGTTGAGCTCTGAGTCTATTGAAAATGAAACTGTCTCTCTCCTGTGCTTGCTTGCTGAGCTAAAGTGAAACTGGAAGTTTCTCTCTCTGTCTTGCCGAAGTTACTCGCAACGTGTTTCTGTCTGAGTTTGCTCCATGTTGGAGAACTCTGCAACTGGTTTGTAAAATCTACTTATTGTGTTTACAAAGAGGTTAAACGAAGCCTTAGCCGTCTGTGTTTAATTTTTCTGGTGCTGAATGAACCCTGCCAAACTCTGAATAATAGGTGTCTCCTGCTCGACTAGGGGTTCGGCTAGAAGACCTCTAAGGTCCCTTCCAACTCTTGTTATTCTCTTATTCTCTCTTGGGATGGAGAGGAAGCAGCGAGGGCCAAACCTCCACTCGCCAAGTGCCGTCCATCAAACACAATCCGATCCGTTGAAACTCACTTACAAAGCTTGTTTGGAACGTAGCTGTTGTGACACCTCTCAAGGCAGTGGAACTCCCTAAGTAGATTATGCCGTGCTTGATGAAATATTTTCCTTTTGTTTGTCCTCAATTTGCTGATTTCATTAGTCCTCGCGGCAATCCGTCGTCAGGTGGTGCACCGGGGGAGAGAGAGAGGGAAAATGACGGAATCTCTTCCTTCGCTGTCACAGCACTCATTTCGGTGTCTTCTCCGTGGGGAAGAAAATCCGTGTTATTTATACCCTTCTCGTTCCGGTTTTCCCCTTCCTCAATGTAATCGAAGGCTTGTTTGGTTCAGTGGCTGGGCACCAGGACCAGCACCAGGAGACAGGGACTTCTAGTCCCGCCTTAGACATGAAAGCCAGCTGGGTGACTTTGAGCCAGTTGCCAGGAGTCTGTGATTTCTAGTGCCAT